TAGTAGAAGAGTAGGTAAACTTTGGGACATACTATCACGTCACACAACTGCGTCTCACATAGACACACGCACCCTGCCACTGTAAACATCTCGTTTACGTATGTAACCTTGGTTCCCTGAGTAGGAAGAACCCCGCTGAAAGGAGGTGGCCCTTTCCGAAATTGGATTGTGTAACCGTGACGAACGGTGCGTAGTACCCATTGAGAAGTCGGGCAGGCGTCTCCATGCGGCCCAATAGTCTGCCAGGGGCTTTAGACGTTCTATGGTTGGAACGTTCAGCTGATTTTCCTGTATAAGGCACCTGAGTACCGGGAAAATCTATAACAGGAAGATGTCCAATTGTCCTGTCGGGCCTGCCCACCACCCCAAAAGTGGGAGCTTTGAAGGTCGTCATAAACGGGCCATGCTCACATGACTCTTGGGCTTTCTCTCTGTGGCAGGAGGGGTGGGGATCAGCGAGGTCTGCATCAGGAGAGAGAGGCAGGAGACGAGCGGTGCGTAAGTGGGTCAAGTGCAAATGATAAACACCTGTGTCTTGTTTCAGTAATTGGTGTGGAGAGACTGGATAAATGGGGCCACCTGGAACAGGTTGGGAGAGACAGACTGGGTACGCGAGCGACCCGGGGAGACGGGTGTAGATACACGGAAGCAAGTTGCATTCTGTTTGTTATGAGTTATTGACTGTGAATCTGGCAGGGCTGAGTGAGCGCCGTGGTGTGTACAGTGCCGGAAGGAATTTAAATAAAGCTCGCATCCCAGCAAGCCGACCCTGTCTTCTTCCTTCCACCCTCTTGAACCTTTGTTACAGTGGTGCCGAAACCTGGGAAGGAAGAAGTACGCCGGCACCATCATGCAGTCCACCCCAGGATCGCGTGGGGCATCTCTGTGCGGGTGTCTCTTGGGAAGAAAGAGCGTGGCAGACGGGGGCGGTCGCGCAGGTGGGAGAAGTTGAGCCGGGACCAAGGGGGACTGAGTCAGGGGAACGGAGCCCAGGGGGTAATAGAGGAATCCAACAGTGATTGGGCGAGCCCAATAGTTTTAGTACCGAAAATGGACAGCTCGGTCCGGTTCTGTGTGGATTATCGTAAGGTGAATGCTGTGTCGAAGTTCGACGCGTATCCAATGCCGCGGGTTGACGAATTGCTTGATCAGCTGCGCTGCTCAATTTGACTCGACACTGGATTTAACGAAGGGATATTGGCAGATCCCCTTATCTCCAATGTCCAAAGAAAAGACGGCCTTCACCAGGCCGTTTGGA